ATGGAGAACCGAAGGCGTTGGGGTGGAGGAATCATGGGCATCAAGTCTCAGCATGTCACCCAGCGCAGAGAGAGGGCTATCCAGGCAGAGAAGGCAAAGAAGCTCGGCTTGCAGCTTGCCTGAGATGTGGGATTTTCAACCGAGTACGGCTGCGGCATGGCACGGAGAACAAATGAAAAAAATCCGATTGACCAGCCTGTCTCGCAGTAGGGTGTCCCCCCAAAGCTGGTGTTTAGGAATGATTTCGCTTTTGAGGACCAACCGATACCCACAGCAATCCCCAAAGGATGCGCCGCTGGAAGTGACACGCGAAGCCAGAGCATCACTCATTTACGAAGTGGTTAAGAGATCGAAACAGCTTGCTAAGTTACCAAGTGACTATAGGTGGATCTAAGAGGATCTAACCCTATAGGATCCAGTCGTATCTCCTCAAAAGGTACGACTGGACCCTCCTGGCACCCACCCCAGTCCCACCTTCGAAACGAGGGTACGACTGGATCCTTAGGGTAAGTGAATCTAAGTGACTCGGTGGACTCAGTGTGACTCTGCGGGTCTTCACCTCCCAACACTGGGCATGCTGGGCCAACACCTGCAGCGCTTTGCACCGCAGAGAGGCGGAACTCCACCACGGTCGCCGCGTAGCTCCGCCGTGCTGCGCACCGCCGCGGCTCCGCAGCCATGTGGGTAGCCCAGACGGGATGTGGGTAGCCCTGGTTGGGCTGTTCGTGAGATGGGTTGGTCTCCCGAAAATTCATTCCACGGATGCCCCGCACGGAAGGGGCAGTTTCTCCAAAAGGACAGGTGGGGGGTGGGGTTGACGGAGTCTTCCGTGGAGACCGGCTGAAATGGGTACAATATGAGGGTTTGGAAGATCAAGACAGTATTCGGTGAATCCCCTATTTGTGAATGAATGTGAATTACTATTTGGGTATAGTTGGGTGACGTATTACAGTAAGTGACCAGCAGACAGACTATAAAATCAGTGATAAACATGAATTAGGATCTAATTCACTGAGGCGGACCTGGTAAAAATAGCACTTGGAATACGCTGCGGTTAGAATATGGTGGAGCAGCCGTTGATGAGGAGTGTCCGATTTGGGAATACTCCCCATTTTTGTTAGCAGTTAGATCCTCATTTTCTATTTGTGGTCACCCCACCTGACACATATAACATCGTATAACATCATGTAATATATTGAGGCTTTGACTCAAATTGAATCACCCCAGTGTCTTTCTCCTTTCACCTTTGCGGCCTTTGGGGCATGGGGGGCCGCTCAGTTCTCCGGGTAGTCCATGGCCGACGCCAGGACCGCTCCCGAGTCGCACTCCTTGAGTCGTAGACCCCGCGAGACGCCAGGTCCAATGGCAATGACCTCTCTCGACGAGAGCTGGAAAGACAGATCCAGGAGCTTCGCCGCGACAAGGTCGGGGACCCGACCCGCGGCTTCCGCTTTTGGCATTCACTAATCAGAGTAAGCACCAATGAAAGCCAGCCGATACACGAGTTTTTTTAAACAAATATATATACCAGGACCCTCGTGTCGGGGTGCCCTGTCTGGAAGCCTATAGGTAGTGTATGGTAGGGGGTAGTCCAACCCCTTGGAGGGTCCTGGTATGTGTGTGTCTTAACAACTTCTGGGAGTAGAGACTGAGACTTCGGGAGTCGGAGTTTCTGACGGAGTCGGTGGGAAGGGATGGGACAGTATGGTTGAAAAAGACTCCTCAGGACTTCCTAGAAAATTCCCAGGAGTCTTCAGGGTCTTTTCTGGGATGAAGTTGTTATGTGAAGGGCGTGAAGGGTATGAAGTCTGGGATGAAGTCATATGGTTGTGGGTGTGAAGGCAGATGTTATGGATGTTGTTCAGCACCATGCCATGTAATGGTCTTCTTTTGCGGCAGGCAAAAAATGTGTCACATTTCTACAAGGATTTGGTGTTGGATGCCCAAACCGTCTCCACGGTCGCTTCCTCGTCCACGCGCTGCCTCCGCGTGCATCCAAGGTGAAGTTGGATGACAACATCCGGAGAATGGAGGCCACACAGAAGCGTATTTTTGGCCCGGCCACCCAGAGGACATCAAGAGACAGGCTAGCGGCTAAGCATGGTCTCCTTCTCTATGTCGAACGCATGGACGACTACCGGAGGTTTGGGTTTTGTTTGGTCAATGCGTTTCGTTTGATGTTTCTATAGTCTTTCAAATAAATATAAACCACTGTTGAGATGGGGTCTTGTATTATGGCTTATATATGATGTTGGTCGTCGGACATCTTCCGTCCGAGCCTCAGAGCCGGCGAGTGGTGCTTGCTCGCTGCCGCACCTCATCGGACATCGCTTTCGGCCCATGCCAAGAGTAGCCTGACACGGTTGGATTGTGGTTTTCGGATGCATCTTTAGAGTCTAGTTTCAGCCATGTTCACTCATCAGACTCATCACTTTTCTTGAAGGGGGCCAAGTAGTTCTGTGACAACTGGCAGTTTTGATGACGTTCTCCACTTGCTGATGAGGTGAAGAAGAACGAGCCAAGTTGATGGCCCTTCACAGTCAGGAAAAGAAGGAGAATGGAGACAAGGTCACCAGCACTGGGGCGGGTCCAGCTTCACATCACTCACCGAGTCCAACCGGCCATCCATTGAATCAGCTGTATGGAAGAACAATGGCTACTTTTCTCACCTCATTTTGTGATTGTTTGATCAGATTCAAATCCAGACCGAATCGATACATGACCAGTTCAGCCAGAGACTGGGGTCGAGACCTATGCAGTCAAAGAAAAGTTTTTGATTTGCCACGAAGGATGCGGTTGATCATTTCTAGAAGCTCAATGGATGCATGTGATTCATCAGATGGGCAGTTTCCGGTCAGGGGTGGGGACTCGGAAAATGGTTTGCAGAGTGAGAGGAGGAGGACAAGGAGGATGGTGAGAAGGATGGGAAGGAAGAGAAGGAGGAGAAAAAGGAGGAACAGAGTGAAGAGAGCAAAAAGAGAAAAAGAGATGAGGACTTGGACGCTCTTCCAGCCATTCTTGCATGTGTTATGTATATTTGGGTTTGGCACCACTTAGGAAATGGCTTCGTTGAGCAGTAATACAGTTTTTAGAGCTTGTGAGGATGCACCAAGCCTATTGCCATTTACTTAACAACATCAACAAATTCCCATAGTACAGAGGAAAGATAATGACTCATGACACAAGACACACCTATACAATCCTATACATATTGTAGTTCTCCACCTGAGGTGTCGCAGGGCTTTCATCACAGTGCAGATCATGGTGGGACTCTTTTGTTCCATGAGCGTTCAAGGAGTACTTTGGCCTGCCCCTAGCAGAATGGGACGATAATAATAGGCCTACAATAAGTCATGTGTAAGCAACTCGTTTGCCCGATGGAAGGTCCATCGGGCGATTCAGGCTCCATCAGAGCTGGGACATTCGGCTCCTTCCGGTGTTTCAGGCAAATTATGTTAACATACCAAAGTGACCCACCTGGCGTTTGATACCCCACCTGGCACTAAACCATCACTAACCCATCCGCTTGTCCTGTGTCTCATTTGTCTTAGGAAAAGCGAAAGAAAGAAGGTCGGCCCACGAAGACGGACCCCCGAAGTCGAAACCTCTTCGGGAAGCTTCTGGGTCACCTGCACTCTGCAAAAGACAGGCACCGGATAACCGTCAAGTGTGTATTTGTTTGACTCTTTGGACAATTTGGACGTGTGACTCCGTGTGACCTTGTGTTTTGTGTGATGAAATGTCTCTTCTCCGGGAGCAGTTGAGCGGGTGGCAAAACCAAGCTAACTCATGACCCCTGGAGGCTGCAGAAAGAAAAGACCAGTAAGATGGGGCAGCTGCAGTCGAAGGCTTTAAGCAGAGTAGAGGAGAAGGTGAATCTGAGCAGAATGAACATCAAGGAGTTCAGAAAAGGAGAGCTCTTTGGTTGCAGCATGTTCACACGGAACATCGTGGGACCACCTAGGCCGCATATGCATTGGTAGGTTCATGTAGGTTCCATATTAAGATCACTGCCAGAACCTGTAGGAATCTCTCAGATAGATCAATCATGCAAACTTCGCCCACCAAAAAACATGTTTTTTTGCGTGAAAAACCATGCCATGCCAATATCGTATCGGTGCACCCACCACCCCTGCATGACCTTTTACCCATTGGGTGCATTCTGCCAGAAGTCTGGGGCCCGTTCTTGATGGCGGTCTTTTGAGGTTTGAAAAGCAGCTCGTAGAGGAACAGGCCAAGGTGCGAGGAACCTGATGGTGGGAGACATCAGCAAACTGTTTTAGAGAAGCTATGCCTCGACTGGTTCGGATGTAGGAGTGAAAGCTATGCTTTGGTGGACCAAATCAAGTCCCAGATAAAACATTGGACATCAGACTGAGGAGGTGAGCCCTGGTTCATGTCATGATGGATCGGACATATTGATTGACTTGTGATTTGATGGGTTAGCAGATGTTAGCAGTTCTATTGGTTCATTTGGTTCGTTTTTCTTCGCTGCGGATGGAGGTGGCTGAGATTGAAAAGCAACTGGAAGAGAAGGAGGTCCTTCTCCTACAGCGGCGGTTAGAGACACCTGGCACGATGAAACGCTTTGACCACCGCTAGGGCTCACCCTGGAGCGTGGTGACAAGATTTTGACCCATCTAGCGAGGAAAGGGGGGAAGACTTTGGTCGAAGCATTCAAGGATGGTCATGGGTCATGGCAATCCACCATGCTTTTAAAGGGATGAAGCGCCCAGCTGGTGACGCTTGACCGGGCTTGCCTGGGCGTATGCCCCGGTCGAGAAGGGCATCAACTCGCAGTGCAAAGCTCCTGAGAAAGGCGAAGAAAGAAAGGAACAAACTGCATATGGCCATCTGGCCAGATAACGCATGTTGGATATATGTGTGGCTCTTAGTGTTCTGAAAACACCCATTCGTTTGTTCCACTGGTCGGATGTTTTGCTACTCCGTCCACTGAGGAATCACTACTCCTTGATGATGAACTTCATCCGCACCGAGGCGAGAAGGACCCGCCGGCTCACCGGTGCACTCACTTTGGTTTTGGGCAGGGGAGGTCTCAACATGTACAATTTCGACCCCCCAAAAACCCTCAAATGGGTGACTCGTCAAAACCTGGAGTTTCAACGATGTAGCTTGACCTTCGTAGGTCAATCAAGGTATCGTAGCTTTGACCCACAGCCAAATGTAACTTCAGGACAACTCATTGAAGAGCCGACACTGTTGGTGTGCACTGACATGTGTGGGGAATCTTCCAAGTGGAGGCGCAAATCTTGAGGTATTGGGTGTGAGCGCTTTCGCTTTGCTCAACTCGAGCGCCCTGAGAATATATAGTTAAGTTGTACAATCTGGTTTGGTTGGATAGATATATCCGAGTAATTACTACCAATAATATGATCATTCATCAGCGTTAAAGGCTGGTATTGAAGGGCCCAGGGGGCACCTCCAAGGTAGTTCATCAAGGTTTCTTCAAGAGTTCCCCGAGGTGACGATGGGTGATCCAATCCTACTGACCACTTTTGTTCTTGTTGCCTTGCATGCTTAAATACAAGCAGAATCAGTCCAAAGGACCAAGTCAAACCTGTTCCTGAACCTGATGAAATACTCTTTTTTGCAGGACCCAGTGAAATGAGGTCCGTAAGACCTGTAGGCCTGGGAAAGGGCCGCCTCCGTCCATTTTCCTGGAATGTGGTTCCAGGTGCAGCCTCCGATTTTCTTCCTGCCGGCGAAGCACACGCGGGATACCGAAAAGATGTCACTTGGAGTGGAGCACTTGTTGGCGGGGGCAACCTGAGAGCCATGGCGTGGGTGTCACCAAAGGGTGTGACACCAAACCGCAGCTTCCAAGGGTGTTCTTTCTCAGTCCCTGCGGGAGGTGCCAGCTATGATATAAACGGAAACAATTACACACTTAGTACAATATAGTAATTGCAATTATATACAGTATGCACAGTTAGTTCACATTTCCCACCATGATAGGATGGGATGGCGGCTGGCGGATCCCTAAGTGCTTGTCACTAGGGAAGTGAGCTTCATGCATTTGTGAAACACGTCGAACATGTCAAGATCACCTAATTGCAAGCACCAATGGTCCAAAGTGCAGCTGCAGGTGTCAACAGTCAGATTTGTGATATGGTGCTGTTTCTTGGCTCCCCACTTTGAGTAGATGAAGGTCCGATTCACAGAAACTGGATGAGAAAAAGAATCAGAACCGGCATCGAGTGATAAATGTTCCACCCCTTTTGGGACGGAATGCAACCACCACGTCCATTAAAAGAAAAAAAACAAACCTAACTAGTCCTTCAAGGCTCTAGACTCTATCCACTTCCATGTGTTAGTCGGTTGTCGTCTCTCAAGTGGCTACCATGACTTGGTGACGTGTTCACCAAGTTCACTCCAGTGGACCGATGTGTTTCGCCTTGGGACCGGGCTCAGGTTGGATGCCACTCGCGCGGGGATCAAGAAGAAGATCGCCACACTGCGCATGCAGTTCAAGCAGGAGCAGGTGCAGAGACTCATAAGTGGGTTTGTGGGTCCGTGTGGTATATGAGAAGACTCGGGGGCGAAGCGTGGAGCTTTGTGGAATCATTCTGCCGCACGATCCTAAGGTATTTACAGTCAAACCATTCCCTGTATATAGATATACAGATGGCCCGGTCTTCAAAGGCCCTCCTTTTCCAGGCCTCTCCCAAAGTCCATCAGATTACATATGGCTACGGCCAGAAACATAAGGCTTGGATCACACACCCAAACCCACACACGATCCATACCTCGATCCATGGGGTATGGATCAAAAGGTGGGTGTGTGATCCAAGCCCTTGGATCACACAACCACCACCACCACTACTACAACCACCTCTGCTGCCACAACTCCTTCTGCTACTGCCACTGCACTTGCCTGCAACAGCTTTACTGCTGCTGCCACTGCTACTCACCACTATCACCAGCATTACCATCGCCACAGATTTAGCGGAAGCCGCTAGACTCAACTTCAAATTGACTTCCCATTCCAGCCAAAAATTAATTACCGGAAGCCTCTAAGTGTGATCACAGCGGGGACTCGAACCCTCACACTGTGGAAGTGAAGAATTGGACACCGACGCTTTTACCATTAGGCTATGCAACCCTGTGAGTGGAGAATCCAACCCAAATATCCCATATTAAAGAAGGTGCTAGAACACAATATTAAGGCCAAACAGAATTAGCGGCAGCCACTAACCAGTATTCGGAGCGAGCCTCTAATCTAGAGCTGAAGCCACCACCTGTTAAATGTCTTGAGAGCCCACTGAGTCACCAATATGCGTGGCCAGCTGATGGCCTTTTTGGGCTTCTTGCATCGTGTGCTTGAGTTGGAGGAAGAATGTGCCCCAACACTCATTGCCGCCGCTCAGTGCCAAACCATGCCCAATATGAGGACAGTGGAGCCCAAATTCACAGCGGCCAGAACTTCAAAACAGGCTTGCCACAAACAGGATGGCTTTGATCTGGGAAGCCACCACCTGCACAGTTCACAGTGAATTGGTGAGAAAGTGGTGGGTGAAGTGCCACCATGCAGATGTGTTCATGTCGGGGGCTTGGATCAAGTGACTTGTCGGTTTGATCCATAGGGCTTGGATCAGCGCTCTGATCCATAGGGTTTGGATCACTCTCACTGCAGCGCGGAACAATCCATACCAGGGTTTCTGGCCACACCCATATATACTATATATATATATATATATGATCCCCTATTCAGCACCATGAATGATCGCTCTTTGGACCTTGAGCCTTTATGGGGGTTTCTTGGCCTGAAGCCGGCTTTTGCATGCGAGGAACACGATTAATAGACGACGTCATTCTTAGACCACGTAGCACGTCGGGAGCGTTTGTGTCGACACGTTGGGGCACTGTCATCGTTCGGACTGGCGAGGTACGAGTTCAGGTGGCTATGCCAGGACCCGTGACCGTGCGAATGGACACCCCTCAACCTCTAAGACTCTAAGGACTAATGGATCTTGGGCGGGGGTCCTGATTCATGTTTTCCTCGGTTCTCTTACTCCTGGGACGCTTTGGAAGACTCCTCAGGCCGCTGCTGCCGAGGTGCGGGAACACATGTGCGGCGTGTTTCGCTTCGCAGAGGGACCGGGTTTAGGAAGACTGTGGAGTCGCCAATTGCCAAGTGCCAGATAGATGTGATCAAGCCCCTTCCACTGAGATCCAACCCTTTCATCATTGAGCTTGAGAGAGTACACTGCCTGGAACTAAGATGGAAGTGGAGAATGACCCCTTGGAAGACCATTTTCCACTACAAAAAGGTGGTTTTCCACTTCCATGCTAGTTCTAGGGAGAGTAATCATATATGGGATTCTTCAGAATGGTCAGAACCTATTCGGGCTCACGCGAGACGTCTACCCTAGGGACATTCAACCAGAAACATTCACCAAAGAGTCGTGGCAGATGCTGCAGGCAGAAGGAGGGAGAGGAGAGGCTGCTGAAGAGAGAGGCCAGGCCTTCAGAATCCTTTCGCTGAGCGCCAAACGAGATGAAACACCGTTATTCTTCGTGCACGATAGAAGAACTCGGGACCTATGAGTCCGAGGGATGTGAGTGGTGGGACTCTGAGTCCGAGTCCAGCACCCTCTGTAAGCATAGACCCGATTAAGACAATGGTTGTTTGGTACACAGACCATTGGAAAAGCAATGCGCAGCTGAGGTGAAGCAGCTGAGGCTGAGGCCGGGACTGAGGATTCTCCGTCAGACTCAGACGTTGTGGCATGCACAGTGGCATGCCGGTCCCCAAATAGATAGAAATGATAGAAACGGTGTCCAATAGATTTTATGATGATTTTCTCCTATCTTATTTGGGGGTCTAGATAATGTGGACGGTTGACCAAACAAAAGACTTTATGGAGATGGACAAGGTTGTATCAGCATGGTTTCCCTGCTTTGACCCATCATATGATTTTGTGCGTGTAACGTGTGGTTTCCAAATACCCTGTCAATGATCATTCCTCAGGTATATAACCTTACCCCAGCAAGAAATCGTTTCCCCTCGCTCTGCAAATTGCAGATACAGCATCCCTATATGTGGAAGATATTAAACTATTAATATGCATGCATTTAATATATGTCCAACACATGTCACGTGTTGCGGTGATCCACCATGTTTCTTTTTCCTCCCATCCGCATGTAGAACAACACCCACATGTTCGTGCACCATATGAACCCACCCCCCTCTTGGTCAGGAGAAGCCCAAGGAAGCTGCAGGACTGGACGGACAGCTTCTGTGAGCTTTTCCTGGAAGAAATTGCCGCAGCACGCGGCTCCAAGATATCCCCAGAGCTAGTTCACAAGCTTAGGGATTTGAATCAAGATTTCTTGTTGGGCTGAAAAATGCAAGCCCCCCAGTCTGATTCCTGAGAATTAGGAGGTGTCAAGACCTTGTTGCCCCAAGAGCATTAACTTGTATTTTGTTGATGTTAGCGTTCCTTTTGGTTTTTCAGGTTTCGTCCATTTCCACTTGTAGCGACTTTCGGCGCGCATCACTGGCCACCTGGCCAGCGCACATCTGCGCCAGAATCAGGCGATGCGCCAGCTGCTGAGGAGGGCGGGGAGAGCGACAGCTCGGAGAATTGAGAGAAACCCGACTCCTGAGGAGTATATCATTCAAAAAGAGTGTCCGGCTCTTGCGGAGAAGAGACTGTCTCACTTCTTGAAAAACGAAGAGTGGAGTCAACCTCGTAGATGTAAAAGAAATCTATATAGATTATATAGTTGTCAAAGTTTTCTGTTTGACCGAGGGTGTGGGAGAGGTGCCAACAGACTATCACTTCAAAGCTCGCATATTTGCGAAGTGATGCCTTTTGCCAAATCCTGCTCTTATCAAATGCTTGCTTTCCAGACGGAGCTGGTCAAAAAGACACCTCTCTCAGCTGAACACGTTGGTGCCTGGCTCAAGCATGCAATCAGTGGACCGAGGTGGTTCCTGTAGATCCTGATCAAAGGCAGAGAGAACAACCAAGGCAGAGAGAGCAATCTGTAGATCCTGATCCTGTTGGTTTCGGAGGCTTCGGGCTCGGCACCTCCCCTCCAGCGGCGTTCTCGCGTGCGGGACCGGGCGCACTCTCGTGGCCATGGCCATGAGTGCGTTGGACGAAGCAACTCGGGAGGTATCCGTTTTGTTGCAGACACTTGGCAATCCGGAGCAGTTGCAGCTTGGGAGTTGCCGTTCTTCGCGCCTGCGGAACCCTCGTGCAGTCGGAACCGATTCCGGGCGTGCCGTTGTTCATGTGACGACCGGAGTCCGGGCGAAGCCACGTCCGGTGGAGAAAGATGCAGAGGCACCTAGTGTGGACAGATGTTAGGGACAGTCCCTTTGACTAAAAAGGTCCCTGTTGTGGACAGGTGAAGGAGTGGGCAAAGGAAACATCAGAATGTGTTTGTTTTCACGTACTTTATATTGTTCTTCAGCTAAGGAAACATGCTCAAGAGCTGGAGTTGGTGTTTCAGCGCCTTCAAAGCCGCTTGAAGTGGCCCGGCAATAACTTGCGATGCCCTGGCGGCGCGTACGGATGCTGGTGCTGACACACCTACGTACTCCCAGAAGTTTGGGAAAGCTGGTGGGCCATGGACGACTTCTGGAATTTTCCTTCCCCCAAGAATGCAGCCATAGCAGATCAGCCAAGCCACTCAAAAAAGCAGAAACATCGCATCCACCATCATCCCAAACATCCGAAACCTGCCCGTCCCATGCTCCAGCCGTAACCCGCATGCTTTACCTTGGGCCTTGGGCTTAGTCGCACCCACTCGAGCTCCCCTGTGCTGCGCCGTGAGCATCGATGCCACGACCCGCCAGGTGTGAGGACCCGGATGCCACGCCGAGGGAGTCCTCGTGCTTGCTGACGCGTTTGTCGGGTGTTCGGAGCAGCTCCAAGGCGGTGGTTTTGGGTCCCTGAGGACGTTGGAGGGGAGGAAAGAAGTGAGGAGAGAGAGAGAGAGAGTATGTGTGTAATTGTGTGTAGGTTTGTGTTTTCGTTGGAGGGTATGATCATTTGACACTGGATGGGGGAGATTGGGGGAGTGTCGCTGGGAATGTCAACATGGAAGGAACAACCGAGGTCGGATTGAGGTCCTTAGGGTTGTTGTTGTGTTTTTTGTTTAATCCAGGTAGATGCCGCTCATCCGAGCTAAACTGGCTCTTCTACAACGTCATGTTAGCGAAGGACGTTTTGGCTGACTTCACTCGCTGCTTTGCATGTGGGCGCATGTCTTGTAGAGGTCCAGATGTCCCCACTCCACGTGGGAAGCTCCTCGCCTAGGAGCTCACCCAAGTTCCGTGGAGCTCACTGAGTGAAAAACTAAAAGAACATAAGAACAGGGTAGTTGGTGGCACTGGGCATCACCGGGCTAGAGGGCGAGACTCAGATGCTTTACCTAAATGGGCAAGTAATGGCAAGTACGTAGATCCATTGCAATCGGGAATCCATGTAATTAATTACTTGTTTACCTAGGTCACTGTATCGATTGGGTTGAGTCAGATGCGGCACTTCTGATCTCGGTGTTCTGAAACGTGAACCCTCCCACCGGACCCACCGGACGTGGTCACTGCCGTCCCCCGAAAACAGCACCGTGGGCACCGAACTCCGCCACATCGACATGGCAAATCCGCAGGGCCCGCAGTTGCCAGAGGAAGTTCCACCAAAGGTGGCCTTCCCAGCAGAAGAGCTTCCAGGCGGTGTGGGCTGGGTGGTGCGGGCGGCGGAGCCGGCGGCGGAGCCGAGATGAGCTCCCAAAACAGAGCAAAGCCATCCACAAGCCTCCAATGGATGCTACAGCATGTTACAAACAATCCAGTATCAGTATGAGGGATGTTCGTTCTAAGGTTATAAGCTATTTGTTCCAAAGGGTCCGAGAGGCGGGTGTTTTTGGGTGATTCTTGGATGCGAGGTCATCGCGATGCTTCGAATCCACTTCGCAAAGCCGAGAGAGAACATGGCCATCGGTTTGTCATGCCTGTTCTTTGATCATATGAATTCTATGTTTAAGAAAGAGCTGGCCATAGCTGGCCTCTTTCATGTCGAGCATCAACTCGATTCTGCACAGCAGACGTGAGGATTGCGGGCGTTCCGTCAAGTCTTAGACGTCTTAGATTGATAATATGGAGATGTAGCAATGAGCATCATGTATGAGGACATGCAAGGAGCATCATGGTGTAGGGGTATCACACCAATATGCGAGAGGCCCTGTAGGATTAGATTCGAGACCATGTTTTCTTAATGTTAAAGTTGTTTGTGAGTCGTTTTTTAGGCTTTGGTTTCTACATATGTCTTTCTGATATTGTTTGCTACTCTTGGCCCAGGCACCCACCCACACCAACAATACAAGCTGGTCTTGATTGGGACGCCAGACAGAGGTTTTGAACACCTGGACGGACCTTAGCCATTCGAAATCGGCCCATCCCACCGGCATCCAAACACCCGCTTGGTTCCAATCCCCGTGCCAGGTGCTATTGCGGAGGCGGTTCCTGCTGCGGGCTGTTATGGTGTTTTGGGATGTTTTGGGGGTGGTCCTTATTAGAAGTAGAGCTCCGCAGGTTGGTTGGTCCGGAAGTGGATCTCTGAAGCGCTCCAGAGGTTGGTTGGGAAGCTTTGACTCGCCTTCGACGAGTCGGTCCGAGGGTCCAGAGGGTCGGGTCCGCGTGGACCTGCCGCGGTGGACCCGACCCTTGGCTATGAGCAGAAGGACAAAACATGGTCGACTCCCCATTCGGTGGATTCATCACACCATTTACCATAGTTACCCAGTCTACACCTTCTTTCATTCTTCCAAGGACCAACTCATGACGCCCCGACCGAGGAATGAACCCTGTTCCAACAAGAATCTCCGGCGATTTCAGAAGAGCTCCGAGGGAGCTCTTCTGAAACCATCTCGGAGAGTTAGCTACTGCACCAGCTGGAGCTCCCAGTTTTCAACGGAGCCTTCCTTGGCTGGAGCTCCCATCTACGGCGTGTGCTGTTTTCTGAGTTGTCATGTTCATCCTTCGTCGTAGAGCAGTGTGAAAACAGGCAGGTTTGGTTTCGAAAAGTATGAATACCTCTCAATGCCACTACCTGTAAAGCAGTGGACAGAGACAACCCCCCCTATAAAACCCCTTGGGGCTTCCTCCCTAGCCCCCACTGTAAAGCCGAGCTGCTGGATGCAGGAGGACAAGGAACAGGAACAGTTGACCGCGGTGATGCCCTTGGAGTCTCCCCGCAGCTGTGGCACCTCTGTCTCAGGCGAGTGGAGGTCGTGTTGGGGAGGGCCTATTTGGAGAAAGCAAGCAGGAGCAGCCCAGACACAAAGGCAGCTTAGTTCTGAGAAAGCAGAAGCAATCCTTTGGAGAGTCCCTGTTCAATTGGTTTGATAATGTTTCATTCATAGTTTCAGTTGATTGTGTAAAGGTTTTTCCATGCAATCAAGGGTCCAAAATGATCCAAGGGTCCAAAAGTAGTTGGGGGAACATGATCATTGCAGGGATGGGACGGACGATGGATAGATTGGGACGGGTGCATGGATCAGACCTTTTCATCTCGCATTGTTTGACTCTGTACCCTCTCCATGGGCAAACATCGCAACCCTATGCCGGTTGCACACAAAGAGACAATTATCAATCTTTGCACGACAGACTGCTGGTAAGCTGTAATACTGCTAGTGGTGTAATACTTGTTTACTGTTTACGTTCAAAGGCAAGCTTTGCCTCCCTGTGCAACCATGCTTGCTGGTGTTCAGGAGATGCACGTTGGAACAGAAAGACCTTGCTTTCTACACCCCCTGGAACTAACATGGAAGTGGATAATGTCCCCTTGGAAGATCATTTTCCACCACAAACAGGTGGTTTTCCACTTCCATGTTAGTTCCAGGGAGTGTATATTTATCCTAAGCACAATGAGAGTTCACACCCCAAATCCCAGCGGTCAGTGCTGCTTCCATGTTTTGTGGGAGGGTGGCTTCTTCGGTCCCTTCACAAGGGTGCCTTTGGGCAGGTGACGAGCCGGACTCACGGGCGACTTGGGCTTACAATGGCTTTCAGGGGATGACTTGCGTCCCCATATCGGAAAGTACCACCACTTGGGCGCCCTCCAAACTCTCCCAAGTCTACTTAGGACAAGTGGATCACCTCCCCTGTTACCTTTTCTGGCAAAATTGGGGGGCGCCCCACGAATCCAACAGCTGGAAAAAAGGGTGAATCGTTCTTTTCCAGAAAAACGGCCCGGTGTCAGCAAGACAAGGATTCCGAACATCGTCGTCGCATCGTCCATGGTACCGGATTGCCACTGGAGTGTCATAGCATATGAATGATTCAGGTCGGGAGAAGTAGGGGACCTCGTGTTGAACACACGCAGGGGTTTGTGATGGATGCGTCTCCGCGAGCGCCAGCTCCTCGCGGTTTGCCATGTTTTTTCGGCGGAGACACTGAGCGATGTGACATTGCGAGCCCGGTGATGTGACATTTGGAGCCCCCACTTGCACTATCAAACAGTGGTGCTTGGCGAGGCATGTTGAACTAATGGTGTGTGACTTGCAGGCATGTAAGGTGGCTCCAGTCCAGACTATGTTCATTTCTGGCTGAAACTGGAAAAGGCACTCTTCATCGAGATTTCAAGGGACCAAGCCAATGCTACCCTCAAGTACCATAGTGACTTTAATTTGAGGTTGTGTTTCTTTTGTAGACCTACCACTTGCTTGCCGAGGAAGCCTCGCCGAGGCCGGGTGTTCGCTGAAGAATGAGGAGGGATGGTCAATCACCTGCCCTCTCAAAGGGATAATTCCCAAGGAGTGAGTAAGTGTACACCCACCTCTCATTTCTTGGCGCTCCAGTTGTGTAGGGTTTGGGGGGTTGTTGCATTCATTATCAGATGTCCTGGATATTATCAGATGTTCTCGGTGACAGGTATGTTGTCCTGGATATTCTCAGGTTCCAGATTAGTTGGTGGCATCGCCCACGCGACTCGCCACACCACTTGGCAATTTCTCAGGTGAAGACTTGAAATGGACTATGTTTGATTCTTATTTGTTTGCAGTGCATCAAGGTTTGCCCCCTACCTAGGGAGCCTACTTTTTAAAGTTCAATAATAGGCATGAGAGATACATGAGAGATAGGTCGAAATTGACATGATCCTGATTGTCTTTTTTTATAAATCAAATCAATGTATAGTATATATATATATACGTAGTAATACACCTTGTGTGAATATTTCAGCGCAACCTCTTGTATTCTCATATTCTCATTGTTGCAGCTCGGAGCCCCTCTCCTGCCCCTCCCTGTGACGATCATGTTGTAGGCGTGAGGATGTCTCCTATGCTAGGACTGGGGGTTGGTGCAGATTTGATTGGGCGTCCCTGGAGAGAGAGAGAGAGAGGAAGCAAAGTACACGCACGAACTCGTGTAACCTCCTAAAAAGTGATCCGAATCGGATCCGCAGATGGATGATCAGGGTCTCAAATTGCTAGGGTTGGAGAGAACCAGGGCTGAACCAGGCCTGTTTGGGCTGGACTAATATGTCATATGAGGTTGAGGGGCGGTAGCTGCAGCCATGCCCAGCAGGATTTGAAGCTTTGTCGCATGGGCCATGTCTATCAAAAGGCAGGGCTGCACAACTGCCAATGGCAGCAGCAGTGACCTTGAACCCGCGTATGTTTTACATGTGTCTTACCCCCCAAAAAATGTGTTTTCTCCGGCTGTTTCCAGGACGAAGACGCAGATTCAACGCAAGAAGATCATCAAGTGGCTCGATAGCAGATCGTCGCCACGAAGTGGCCGGGGGAAGGAGGTCTAAAGATCCACTAAGCACTAAGCACTCCCCTTGGTTGGAGTGCTTCCTTTGAGTTGGTGTGCTGAGTCTTCGAGTGCTTCTGCTAATGAACCTACACTGTTGATGAACAAATCCCCCCATAATGAAAAGGTCTTTCAATTCAAATGGGAGGGTTGAGCAATGAAGAGTTTACATTCATAACTTATTTCTTCAGTGGATGAGCCATCCGATGTGGAGCCATCTTCTCGTGGATGGCTCAACCAGGAGCCAAGATGAGCATTCCACCTACCAGTCTTGGACGCAGCGCGTGGTCTATAGCTCCTGCTACGAGTTGTACAGCCCCTCGGCACGTTGTACGAGTCGAAGTCGATTCGACGGGCGTGTGAATGAAGCACCTCGGTGAATGAATTTCTTGGCCCTGTCGTTCCTCCCCCTGGAGGGTGCTTCGTTGTGTGTTTTCTGTTTCTTTCCGGGTTGCGTGTAATTATTGTATTTCCATGTATTTCCTTTGGTTGTTCTCGCTTCTTTACAGGCTTTTTCCACCGCCCTCCACCCGCCCGCCCAAAACATGTCTTCCGTGTTCCATTCCAAAGCCGCCTCAACCGTGCCATCAGGTGCCCTTTTGATCCTACTGAATGCCATCTTTGTGGGTTGGCAGACCGAAGCTTGGACAAGATGCCCGTTCGCCCGTTTGATCAGCATCCACTGGGCAGGTCTCCAAATATATAGAGAGTGGGCATGGTTTCCAATACATTAGTTTTAGTGGATTTGCTTTTCTATCTATCTAAGTGGGGGTCTCTATATTGCGCTTCAACCACTGGGAGTTTTGGGGAACTTCCGTCCGCCGCCCGACCGTTTCGGTTGTCTTCCGCGCAGGAATACGCGGCCTCCACGGTGCGGCAACCCGCGTCGCAGGATGGCTTCGAGCCCACGTTCTTCTTCGCAGCTAGACGGCGTTGAGACGGCGTATGGAGTCCGTCGTTCATGGTTGAAGGAATGAAGTTGGGGGACAACATGGGACAACACGTGCGCGAGAAATATCACATCATAGTAACATCATCCATCTCCTCCACCAAAAACGGGTCTATAAATACAGTCAAGACGCCCCTCTTGCCGTTGACAATCCCAAAAAGTCAGCCAAGCCAAATACAGTAGTTGAGCATGTTGAGCACAGGGATGACACGCTGTGCAGTGGTGACCAATTGATCTTACACAAGGCGAGGATTCTTCAGATGCCCTTGATACCCCTGGATGGAATTCCCCCCCCTTGGGTTGAATTGAAAACAGGACGGGACTTTGGAGGATAGGAAGGGAAGAACGAGAATCATCACGAGCGCTGCAACATTGGAAAGATGCCATTGATTTAGGACAATTGATAAATTGGGTTAAGTTGTATTTGTATTTATGATGTTTTGTTATATTTCATTGTATTATGTAAGGCTATATCAACATTATACTGCAGGGTATGTTTCATGGGGCAAATGGGGCCCGGTGATTTGCCAGATCATCATATCAACATCATATCAACCCCATCAGTGCTTATATTCTGCACATCTGGTGGCACATGATGGATGTTTTGGGACATCAACCGCGATTCATGAATCACATGCGTTTTGGGTAAACAACCCTGGTGAAAGGTTTGGCCGCCTGGCTCAATGTGTGAAGTGCCCCCTCACACTCCGAGTTAGGTTAGCTGGTAGCCTTTTAGTAACTTTTGTAAAGCAATCCTGGTGAACTTCAGAACCTCACTGGTAAACGGTGGCACTGCCCAACACACTGTGCCCAGGTAGCGCAGATCGTGTTCTTCTTGGCTTTCTTCATGGATTTGGCTCTCCGCTGGGTGGCTGATGGCCTCATCTACTTTGTTTGCAATGAGGCGCGCAGAAAAAAACAAAAACACCGTCCCAGCTTTTAGATGATGTTTGAGAACATCACCCAGCTTTTGCAGAATCTGTGCGGAGTGATGCACTTCATTCAGGTTCTCAGTTTCTCTTTTGGGATATTTGTTGTTGGTTTAAGGCTTGAAGGAGCAACAGAACTCCGGCCCTCGCCACACCAGTTTGCAACTTCTCACTCTGGGCAGCATGGTTTGGTTGACAGGAGATGTATTGGAACGTCTTGGACATTTTCGTGGTGGCTTTCAACCTAATTGAGGCCGCTGGCGTTGGCTGATGAGGGCGAGTGCTTTCGTGTTTTGTTGGAATTGGTGAACCAACAGGTCTGAGTGAACTTGGAACTTTGCGATTCTTCCGAGCAAACCGAACTGCAATCGAGGTGTTCCAAGCTATTGGAAGAAAGAGAGTGTTGGTGCTTTGGACTTTGGCAGTCGATGTTCGATGGTCCTCCCATCTTGGCTCTTTCAACCGCCTGAGTGCGTGGGATTCCGAAGCACGAGTCGTGCGTTTTGAGCTGTTTAGAACGAGGAAGCACGTGCGGAAGAGCAGTGATCTTTGTTTGGCAAAGGACGAATGTCAACCTTATAGGATTCCAACCACCATTGATTGAATGGTGTTCACCAAACCTCGATTGTTTCACTGCGACTATATAGATCGTATAGATGGTCATATACAAGGCTACAGTTGAGACTCACCATGAAAGCCTTTGGGGTCGAGCTCAAGAGAACCCATTCGAACCGCGGCGTCGGGTCCCTCTTCAGAAGGCGGTTGGGCGGGGAAACCTTCACAGGTCATCACGGAAACCATGATGTTCTCCGGGTCGGAGAGTGCGGTGCTGATGACCAACTTCACGGCTTCTTGGTCAGTGATACTGGTAGATCAACTTCGGCAGTGTGTGTTTTTTGCCTCGATGGATGCCATCACTGTTTTTATTTGTTTCATTGAAGTCTTTTGCAGCCCTGTAATTGAAGTCTTTTACAGCCCTGATTTTGTCATATTGTCGTATATATGTATGATCTCCGTGGGCAAGCAAATCTAATCTTTCAAGACGGTGATGGATTTTTTGGGGGGAGTGACGCCTTCAACGAACTTGATCCGCCGTGGGAAGCTGCCAGTGGGTTGTTTAAGAACTTGTCGTATTGCATGCTGAGAACTCGTAGGCAAGGAAGCCCCTATCATTCAGATTGAACCATGACCAACCTGCGTTTTTCAGGGCGATAGTTTGCCGAAGATGGAACAAACTAGTTTGGACATATTCATAGGGACTCTGACTAGACTGGACTATCTTGATTATAATCAGGACTGGACTGGTGCAGTCATCGGGGCAATTATAAGCAGTGACTGGACTGGGACTCCCAACAGTCCAAAAGAGTTGCCCCCCGCACACTCGTTCTTCCGTGTACCGGTGATCACCGGTGCTTCTACCGAGCCCGTTCGTCCCAGGTGGTTCGCATGATCCGCGTGCTGCGGGTGGTTCGGATCGCCAGAGTTCCTTGGCAGAGCAGTCTGGGAGGTCGCAGGAGGTAAAAAACTGGAGAAGCTGATGTTTTTGTTGGGCCGGAAGGTGGTTTGGGTACAAAAAGCCAACACCCACCTCACCTAGAAGTCAAGAACCCAAGAAGTCATGAAGTCATAACCTCCTGTCAAAAGACAACTTGACATACAGAGGTCCTAAAGCTCGCCGTTCAGACACAGTTTTGCCTCCCTGGATCGTCTCAGACTTTCTGGATCGTCTCAGCTGCCGCAGACTCCCCTAGACTGAAGACATGGACCAACTGCTGAAGACGGGGGGACCCGAGAAGAGTCATCTTGTCACATCTCGTCATCGTCAGGTGATCCGAGTCTTGAAGGCCGACTCAGGGCTGGCGTGGGCGGCACTGGGGGCGGCACTGGGGAGCACAGGGCGGCCAGGTTGAGGAGGAGTCTAGCCCCGGTAGATAAGCGATTTGCTGATAGGTGTGACGTAGCTCCAGTGCGAAATCCAAGCAAGTTACCACATGAACTCTTCAAACTTAGTTGGTTTCTTCTTCCGTCAGCAGGCCAACGCCCGCCAGCACAACCCAAAAGGATCCAAAAGGTGGTTATTGGATGGAATATGCTACCCTTTGGGTGGTGCTGGCAGTGATTGTTGAAGTTTGAAAGATGTTGTGTCGGTTTGCATGTTAAAGTATCATTCAGCGGCATGATCAAAAACGTCACCTTTACATCTTCAAGTACGTGAACTGTGGGACAGGTGACATGGAACCAAAGGGGCTGAAGATGATTACCCTTCGGTGTGTTTTATGAACATGTTTTCCGTGGGGGGCACATCAATGGAATCAACGCTACTTGGAATATGTTGACCCCCTTTAGGGGGGGAATTTGCAGAAGGTGGTTTCCTCCAGATCCCGGTGGTTCAAACGAGAAGCAAAGGAACACGTTGTAACATGTTGTGCATGATCATCCGACAATACTTTGGTAAACATTCTTCTTAGTCATGAGCCATGAGCCGCCTTAAGAATTGCTGAATTGATGAACACCTTGCAAAACCGATGGGGTCCAACCCTTCTACCGATACCCTTTCTTGATTGAAAGTAGCTCATTGCCTCAATTCCAAAACACTGGAAACCAATAGAGTCCAATCCAAAATAGTGTTTTGGCATTGGGGATGATGGAGAAGTTTTGTCCACCGTTTGATTCTCACTGTCCATGCCTTCTAGACATTTTTGGGTGTAGCACAATGATTGTTTGGAGTGCACGCTGCACTCTGCTTTTCACCTTCCAGAACCTCGACCAGTCGCATCACCACCTTCGCACCCGCGTGCACCACCCGCGCGGTCCTCCGCGCGCGCGTCCGCGTGCGTCGACGTCCGTCCGCGTCCGCGTGCGTCGACTCGGCGACTCGACGGTCGGTGGAGGCCTTCCGAGAGCTTCGCTTGATGGTGGCCTCAATTGTGAGCTCAGCAACTCGGTCTTGGACATGGCAGCGAGGACATGCGGTCCGTCCGCGAGGGGTCTTCCTCGAACATGCGGTCCTAGGGGTTGTTTCATGCTGAAAAAGGGGGAGCATGCTGGAGCATCCAATCAACTTGGTGCACACAACTGCTGCTTTTGGTTTGCAATCTGTTTGTTGATTCGTGGGAATCGATGACGAGATTGATCCAAAGTCATTGTTTCTGATTTGAAGGTACTATTTTTGCTGACATCCGCAAATCTGAAAGCTGTGCGTTTGATTAGATGGGTCTCATGTGTTCAGAATCGCCAGCACCGTCGTGAGAATCTCAGGCGCGAAACCTCCTTTGGGTCATCATGATCCTTTGTGTGCTGCTCTATGCCTCTCGCCATGGGTTTCAATCGCGTGACATCGCCCTGGCATGCGCCGAAGCAGACGGAAAAGAGGTGGAGTTCGAGTGTTGGCCATGATGTCTATCTCTTTGGGGATCACTGAGATGGGCCGTATGATGGGATGTGGAGCGGTGTGGGCGTTCACCTGGTTAAGTTGCAACGGTTGCATGTGAACCAGGCAGCCTTGTGGTGAATCCTGTCTAAACAGAGATGCAATGTGGAGAAGACGTGAAGCGTGCATGTCCTTGCAAGAGGTTACTGGTGGGTTTTGTGGCACGTGCCTTGGTACTCTGTGGGTTTCGGGGTCCAGGTGCTTCACCGAGATGTGGATTCTCACTCTGTCCGAATAGATGTGGATGAATCTGATCAAGCACAAACATCGGATCTATTTACCGACCGCTCCCATGGCGAGGAAGAGACTACTCCCAGCAGGTGGATGTTGATATCATATCATTATCCACCCCAGACGGGCTGCTACAACCCATTACCCTGGAAATGCATGGGTTAGCGCAAAAGCCTACAAAAAACCCTGAGAAGCGTTGGGTTGACCTGTTGACCCCGACTCCATTAGGGGCGACTTCTTTTTGACCCTCAGAGGGCGGGAGAGTGGGAAAACCCCAGTGCAAAACCCCAGTGGTCACATGTGGTCACCCCTTATAAAAAGCCGGATTGGTTTAAATCGAGCCCAAACCTGGAGCTTCCGAACCTGGCCCCTCCCCACCGTCGGGTCAGGTCGCACGCGGAGGGTGCGTGGCTCACGGCTGTGGTGCTTGGAACGGGTCGATGAAACGGGTCAGGTCTTTGGCATTAGCTTCACCTCCGCCGTGGCCCTGGAGTTGGAGATGTCCCCCCCGGACGCGGAGGGCACGGAGGAACTCAAGAGGCGATGGAGTCGGCACGTGACGGGAGGAGGAAGATGGTGGATGGGTGATGATGGGTGGTTTCTGCTGGTGGGTCGGAGGACTCGGAGGACTGAGACCTGAGAACTGCAGATGTTGTGGTGATGAGTGTCCAAGTGACTGAGCTAAAGGTGAAGAATGATAAGAACGGCATGCACGGGTTGGCCTTGTTGTCCTTTGACACCACTGCAGGTACTTCGGGTCTCTGTCGAGCTCCATCCTGACGCTTTACAGCTCGATGTCCGGTGGTGAAGATTGGACGGTGCAGCACAGCTGGCAAATGGTTTGCTTTGGTGGATTTTCAGGTTGAGTATGGTTGAGTTTTGTGTTCCAAACTATTTTAGACTTTAGATTGCCAAAACTGACTTGCGAACCAGTTTGGGGTCTTGGTTTGAAACATGTTCGGTAGCTTTAGAATTACTGTATTATGAATTATTGAATGGCTAAAGTTTTACTCTTCTCCAAGCGAGAACTCAGTTTCCTTGACACTGCTCAATTGATGTCAATTGAACAATGTACATAATACCCAGACACTCCATGTGCGCCATATATGCCTACATTGACCCCTCAAGCCACACCAATGTAGGTAAATATGACAATCCCATGGAGTGTTTGGGTTATGGAAGTTTTGACTTGCACAAGACTGGGTGCGACAGGGTGCGACGAAGCCTTTTGCGCAGACGAACATTGAAGGTTTTTGGGCTGTTCACTGCCAGAATGTTAGCCGAACGACTGTGTTACAGTCAGTGTCAGACTCTTCAGAGATAGCGACTGGCAAGCCCAGAGAGAGGGAGAGACACAATAAACTTGGTCCAAAAAGACGTCCAAGTTGCACCTTTAACAAATCCCTATTGGAACTACCACTTTCTTCGTTTTCGGTGCTTCTTTTGAGCCACCCGTTTGGATGATGGTTTTGGAGCGAGTTTGGGGACCGATCGGCCGATCCGCCGATGGGGTGTTGATCAATCAGCCACAACAAGGGATCCTGATTGTTACAAATGTCAGGGATCCTGAATTGTCAATGGGGATCCTGTATGATCAATCACACTTCGGAAATCGAGAGAAACACGAGATTCCTGAATTGTTTCACGTGCATGTCGGTGCCAGCCTCCAGTCGGTGCCACCCACTCGTGACTCGAAGGGACACACCGAAGCTTTACGCCTACATCGGTCCCCTGAGTCCCCTGCGCATGGGCTAAGGTATTACTATGCCCTCAATCGCTTGGCCTGGCCGTACCAGATTCTTGGCGTGATTCTTGATGGGGAGAACTCGCCTTGCACAACGTGGTCGGCGCTTTATTGATCAGGAGAACGGAGCCTGGCATCTCAGGCCCTGGCTGAAAGCTTTCAAGTCGCCTTCCAAAGAGGTCACCCAAAGAATCTCAAGAGGTCAGCATGAGGCACCTGGGAGGAGATCATATTGGTTTTTGAGCCCTGCAGACCGGAAGTTCAATCAGGTGTTTGTTTTGAGTATTTCAATGGTATTCATTCATTTCGTTGTGGTAAGGATCCCTGCGCATGTCCTGGAAACAATGCTGGGATTCAGCCACCCTCATGTCAATTACCTCGTTCAATTGTTGTTGTTGTTGTTGTTTCCTGCAAAGTGGCACGACTCAAAAACATGTAAGTATTGGATCAACCAGTTTGCGAAGCATCCGGGAAAGCCTCGCCGGTGTTCGTTTTTTGGTGAACATGTCAAGTGAAGCTTCATATTATAAGTTAACCACTTGGACAATGATGGTGCACACCCAACAGCGAGCATCGTTTGGTTGACGTGTTGGCGTTAGATCTCGACAATGTCCACATACACATTTCCGCAGTTGTTATTGCCAAGCAGATTCTGCGCTGCAAGCATCAAGAATCAAGACCTCATGCTACACTCCGTGGCAGCACCCACTTTGAGCGTGATGCTTGCAAGTAGTTCCAGTTGCCTGAATAGTATATCCTTGATTAGTACACTGCAGGTGTCCATTCTTTCATCATTGGATCATTCCCTCCGTCCGTTTGGATCATTGGATCATTCGTTGTCTTTCTTCAGTGTTCCACCGCATGAATCCCACAAGACGAGCGCAGCGCCGTGATGAATCCCAAGGACTCTTTTCCTTTTCTTCGTGACCTTTGCGGTGTTCGCCGTGGTGAATGTTGTCACTGGCGCCGTGGTGAATGCAAGTGACGGGCCTATATGCCATGCCTCCGACCCCACCCGGTGTCGATGCAGGAGCAGGAAGGTCTCAACTACAAAGTGTTCGATTGGGTCGTGAAAGATTGTGAAAGAACAAGGCCTCCAAGTCCTCCAAGGTCCTCCAATGTCCTTTCTCCCTGCCCCGTCCATGCCCCACACCTTGCTTCCAACCAAGGTGTTTTCGTGGACACCGCCATTGAGAAGAACCAGACGGACAAGGAACTCGCCATCCAAGAGGAACTTCGCAGTAAGAAGCTCCGCTCCTCGACGTGTGTCGGGGCGGCTGGGCGGACGGACTCGGTGGGCGGACTCGGTGGATCTGGGAGCTTTGCAGACGGAAAGCGGTGGATATTTCCGCTGTAGAAGACGGAATGATGCGAGAGGTTGAATTGAACGACTCCCCAGCAGGTGCTTGAACCCCATGGGCCGCCCATGGTCATTTTGTTGGAGAGAAGTTTGTGTAGAGAGATCTACAGAAGGGGGCCTACCACCCAATCTCAAGTGGGATGCCCACAAAGGATTGGAGTCGATTGTGCTTGAAATCCCTAATTGTAGACTCGGTTGTAGACGCTTGATTAAAGTATGTAAGTTAAACATAGTTAAACTGTAATTCATTTGAATGGGGTGACCTCTTATTTAACAAAATACTTACTGTATAATCAACGGTCTAAATACACCATGTTGGGGACATCCCGTAACTGGGAGGGTCGATGAGGGAACCTTCAGCATGTTTAATCCGTGTCCCCCGTCCCTCGTCCCCCGTCTCCAAGGCATGAACTGGATCCGAGATGTGTTCGGGGAGTTGGACTCCAGCGGTGATGGCACGGTGACGCTCAAAGAGTTCGAACAACAGCTGTGACTCGGCCGGTTTCACCATGGATTCGGATGCATGCCCGACAGGGTTTGAAGATCCAGCTCCGGGTAGTCAAGATGCTTGGTTGGCGCACGTGGACTCAGCTAATGATTTCGCATCGTAGGCTTTTGCCCATGGTGTGATGTAAAGGGACAAGAGTACCCAGTTGTATGCACCCATCTTTCGAGAAAAGCAATCAAAACCACGTGGTGTTCAGAGACTTGATTGCCGGCGCCAGCGCGGTTATAAAACTTGAACTGAGGCGCCAGTCTCATATATGTATATGTGAATGGATGGTCATAAACACAGTCAAACGCCCTGTTTGTCTCCAGTGGAGCTCCTGCCCTAAAAAGTGGTCACCTGAGTCACCTTTAGAGAATGGTGCTTTGCAGATTTGAATCGTTGTTCTTAGAGTTAGAGATTGGTGCAAATGTAATGCAACATGGATGCCACTGTGCAGCTAGACAGAATGCAGCTAGCTGCCCAACAGTCGCGTTGCCATAGTGCATGTCCCAGTTGTTCCACACCTTGAAATTGAAATGCAATTCCGTGTTTGTCACTTGCTCGAGGAAGCAGGCAGTGCTGGCCTGACAGATAGCCAAGCCTCTCACAGCAACAGTTTAGCCATTCAACCCTACAAATGGTCAAAACAGCTGTCCAGAGTTTGTCGCGTTTGGCTTGGTGTTTATGGACGATACCCGCGATACCTGGATCAATCTGTTGCAGACCTATTCCATAACACCCGTGATCTACACCTTGGACATCCAATCCAGGAGCCTCAAACCAACCTCAACAGATCCACCAAGCTGGTCTCAGGAACCACGAGGCGGTGATCGCGTACTTCAATACCCTTAAGCTGGACGTGAGCGACGCCAGGACGTTGTTCCGACTCCTGGACAGATCCTCGGCCGAGCGCACGCCACGTGGGCTGGAGGCTGGAGGGGTGGCGGATGGTGGCGAAGTGGTGGAGGTGGAAGAAGTTGTAGAGACGTGTGACGTACTAGTTACAGTATGTTACAGTTCTGAAGATGCCAGATGTGTCAGGCTGCGCCCTGTGGCCGGACGGTTGTGAAGTTCAATCGTTGTATGAGTTGAAAAACAATGAAATAGTGAATAGCTCATCTAGCAGACGCCGGTTGAGTCACCACACCAACTTTTCTAAAAAGAGATTTCACATTGCATGAACCTGAAGCATTTGCAACCCACAACCACTGAAGGAAGCTATCTTTCCACCAGACTTCAATCCGTTGCTATTTCGGGATTCCAGTTGTTGTGCCATGACCTAAATAGGACAATGACGAGCTGCCTTTAGCCAATGTTTCCCCCTATAGTGTGTTGGTTTCCTTTCTCAATGACCTTCAGGTTCCTTTATTTACACAAAGCCAAGCGGCTTCCCCGCTCGACATCGCTTCGCTCCTGAGGCGACGGCTCGGATGGAGTCAACATCGATGAGTTTGTACAGGGCTGTTATCGGCTCTCAGGGGAGGCGACCACCTTACACACTCAGGTGCCAAATGGGTGGCGCGTTTTGGTCTTCGCGCGTGTGGAAGACGTGGCGCAGCGAAGCGTCCAAAAACGCTGCGCTGCATGCGTTTTCTTGCTGGGGGAATGAGTAAGGTTCGTGGAGGGAGGGTTCGTCTGGGTGTTTTCCCGGAGCTTGGGTGGATAAGACATGACACTAAGGTGTATCTAAGTGTGTTTGTTGTGCTTAATTTGGCTGAACTTGTGAACCATGATGCCATGATCTCAACGTGTTCTGACACATGTTTGATAAAGTTTGATACACATGTCCCATCAAGTTCATGTTTTGTTTTGCACTTTCGAGGTCTTGAGTCAACTGATGGAGGCATTGAGACAAAACTTAGCAAGTCTGGCCCCCTCCAACCTTCTCAGCTCAAGTACCCTCCCTTCAAGAATCATGGAAGTGGAAAATAGGTGTTTGAAAGTTCATGTTTATCTATATACAGACCGGTTGTTTTCCACTTCCATGTTAACGACTTGGAGAGCACCCTTTGCTTCGCATTCCCGTGTCCATATATAAGTTGTGTATTGTCATAGTAGTTTGTGACAACAGGAGTGTGTAGAGCCGCTTGCTCCAGTGAAGTGGTTGTATTCTGAATATTGGATATGCTTGCATCAGATTGCAAAGGTGGTGATTTTGAATGGCAGACTCAAGTTGCCCCCAGCATGGTGCTTATTTAACTTGAAACGGTGTGTTTAGTATCACAAGAATATCATATGATCTTCACCTGGAGGCTTTGGAGACTCTGGTCGTAACGCCGGGCCAATCTAGAATAGGAAGTTGTGTCCATGATGTCACATGCGAAGACCTGGGGAGGTCATCGAGTGCTCGTTTTCTTATATGCGTGGAGTTTTTTGTTGCTTGATGAATCTACGAGCTTGGATGGTGTTGATGGAGTTAAGCTGCCACCAGGCACGATCCAAATACTATCAAATACTCAAAATTACTGGTAGAAACAAACACTTCGGCGGGCTAAACAATAAGAAGCCATCACTGAAGCCATCAGGACCATATGGGGATCTCCTTTGGGGTTCAGTTTTCCTATTTGTTCATATTTGTTCAACTATTTGCAATGATTCTCCAACAAAAACTGCAAATCTGGCAGAACCCTCGCACAAGAATGCAGACAACTAGCAAGACATGAAAACAATCGGACAACAAATTAAGGAACAAAAAAGGGACTCCCATGTCCTATTTCCTACATGTGTTTCCATTGTTTAGTTGTTTTTGTCCAACTTTGCGTTCAATTTGTGTTCCTAATCGTATTTGTCCTATTGTGACTGTAACTATATATGATGGTTTTCGTTTCCAATCTCGAGCTTCATTTGGATCAACACAAGGCTCGGGCAGCTAACTTGTTTGAAGCCCTGAGTGGGACATGCGAGCTAATCCGCTAGTACTAAGTACTATTTTCGGAGAGTGAACACGTTAATTGTGTCCAAAGAACCCCTCAACCAAATCAAATATGCACAACCTACACTTGAAACTCCTTGTTGGCTGATTCCCCCGAGTTGTTGGGGCACAAGGTGATGCAATGCGACATCAAGGATATGCTCATCAAGATGTAGCTTGGCCTCGCGGATGGTGGCTAAAGGTGGAACATGAAATCCGGCACCATTTGATCTCACCTCCATGTGGCGGGAAGGTGATGGTATGCTCTTTTTTGTCTCCACCATGCCAAGAGAGACCCGTAACCTGGGGGTACCTATGGGATAGTTGAAGGGTTCTTTAACCTCTCTTGGTGTTTTTGTTGAAGCGGAGAGGCTCCTCACGTCCGATCCATCGTGCCCGTGGCTCATCTACGGTGTTTCTTCGGACGGAGAACCGCCTCGATGCGGGTGAGTTCGCTCATCAAGTCAACGCTGAGGGGTCACATCATGGAGATTTTGGAGGCCAGGGAGAAGCAGAAACCGCTGCTGTCACGTTTGGCGACAGGGACACACGAGAGGGGGTCAGAAAAAGGATCACATGACAGATCTCGCAGAATCGGTCCTCCAAGATGGGCCTCCATGATACGCGCTCCAAGAATCTCCCAAAGAAACAGTCAGTTATATTGTCAAATCTCTTTGTGTCTTATGTATAGCCTATAGCCATGCAGCAAGACCACACACACACACACATATATATATATATACATATAGTTCCCTATGGACTTGTTGTTCCCCTCCGCAAGCGCGGCTCCCCATCTCCCAGGACCTCCGGTCCAGGCGCCGCAGCAGCCGCCACTCGCGGGGCGGCAGCGCCTTCTCAGACCTGCACAACACCGGCATGGAACGCCTCAGCGAACGCTCCTCGCGGGAATCCGGCTGCGTCGTGCCCCCCGTGTGGTGAGCGAAGGAGGTGCCTTGTCCCCCAAGAGGTGCCGCTCGAGCGGTGCCCCAAGAGGTGCGTGGGTGGATGAGGGGGCCGGCTTGGAGGGCCACATGGGGAGTTTTCGGGCGAAAGAGATAAAGCTGCGCCCAGTTGTAGAAGTGTGGGAAAGATCGAAGAGTGAAGTCTGGTTTTTAGGGTGGTTGTTGAAGTGAACCTTCTCAAACGTTTAGAGAATCATCATTGATCATATATAAGTACTTTGCCTTGTGACCTAGTGGGTTCAATATGTGATCATCAGGGGTTCGAGCTCAAGACCCATGGTTGCCTAGATCTATGCACCATGCTTCTTCCATGGACCGGGTCTTCCCACACTCGTTGACAGCACTTGCGCCACATGTTGCTGCTTGAGTCTTGGCCTCTTTTTGTGGCCCCCAAAAGTTGGGACGAGCCACACAAATTGCTACGCTGGTCGCACACATCGATAGCGTGGCCCAGCTGTTGGAAGGGTGGCAAATGAAATGGACAGTAGTTGCGATTGTTGAAGGCCAAAGAACCATAGAATAACACCAGATGCGATTGAAGCTGTTTCAGAAACTAACCGAACCAAATTCCAACGGCTCTTGAATTCATCTGAACACTGACCGACCGCCGGGTCGAACAAGGGTCGCACCGCCACTGGTTGAGTGTGGGCACAACCAAAAGTTGAAGGGTCAGGATGACCGGGTCGGAAGGCTCCTGTCTGTGCGGCGCAACCCTGCACCCCCTCCGGTGGCTGTCGGAACCTCCCTCTTTCCGCCCTCTTGAAGAGAGGGGGACGTCCTTGGAGGTATCTCAGCTGCTCAGACTCAGCTCTGCAGTTTTTCGGGTTCGGGTCACGTGGACCTAAATCCCCAGCCGCGCAGGTGGCCAGTAGCCCAAAGGGGCAATGCATTGGTGTGTGGCAGACATTGTGCCAGGATTGGGCAAAATACGGCAACATCTTTGGTTTGAGACCTCCCCCCCTGGGTTCGCTCAGAACGGAAAGAGAGGAAAGGGGCCGACCCTGTCCATCCTCGATCTCTTTAGCCATTAGCCAGAGATGTTTTGTCCATCACTCATTACTGAGTTTGACCAAACTGCACTGCCATTGCAAAGTCGACCTCGCTTCGGGCATACCAATAGCATCAGCAGATTCCAAGAGAATCAAGACGAATCAAGTATTTGTGTTGCTTTTTCTAAGACACATGCGGCCAAGGACGTACTTTTTGAATCTGGGTTGAAACTAGGCACGGTTGCTGCACCGCTTTGGATCATCCAACAAGTGGACCAGTCTTAATACATCTTAATACCATTTGCATACAATAGTGAACATCCACCAGGTCCTTGTGCCAGAAACTTCCATGTTGGCTTCTTGCATTCATATCCGTCAAGACGCTTCCCCCTGACATGGCTTCCGAGTATTTTTCAGCGGTCGCCTGTAGCATCGAATTCATGCACAAGACATAGCCCGAGAGACACGGGCAAAGCGCCTCGGAAAAAAAGATGGGCTACCTTCTTCGCGCATTGCTTGATATCATGGTCATCCTTGCCATCCTTGTCCCAAGTTCTTGGAATATGCCCGATGGTTTCGGGACGAGCATGCCAAGAATATACCGTTTGGATTGTGTGGCCCAAAGAGCAAAAGCCCAGTGGTGATGATAATTTGTGTACGTTAGTTGGGTCTTTTGGTGTTTTTGGGGGAGGCTGGGGCACAATTGCCCCAGCTTGATCATCTATCATTTATAGGGGAAGCTAAACATGCTACACAGCCAAGATCAGCAAGATGTAGAGCTGTTTGGCTCATCAGTTGGAGAACCTGAAACCGATTGGGAGATCATGCCATGTACCTGCAGCGGAACTGCACCAAATTCGCCTCAGAAAGACTCTAATTAGTCATTGATCAAGTCCATACTACTTGATCAAGCTATAAGTAGGGCTGATGCCACTTACAGTGAATTAAGCTGATCTACAAGACTGGTAGACGTCCAAGTTGTTTGTGGATCCCCGATTGGTGCTCAGACTCAAACGGGGGCAGCTTAAGCTCCTTTTTAGCCAAAACTGCGCAGAATGTGAA